ATTAATATATTTCATTCCCTATTAATAAAAATCTAAGAAAATTTAACATGAGAAGAATTTAATAATATTTTTCAAAATTAAAATTTGAATGCATTTGTATATAAAATGTAGTCAAAATAGAGTATGTGAATAGTGTAAAATTCAGCATGTTGCAATTATATAAAAACGGAGGTAGTATGTAGTATCTGAAAAAATCATAAATAAGGCAAAAACATAACACATTCACCACTAAAAGAAAAATTATTAACTACTGTTATTATTTTCTATGACTGAATGAGTCTTACTTTTAGCTCAAAACAAGAATGCTCCCATTTCTGCACATTACCCATGTTTTACTAATATTTTTAGTAATGTCTCAAAGTAGGAATGCCTACTTTAAGGGTCCATTTGGATATAGGGGTTTGGGAGCGATGGCTATAGAGCTGGGAGTATGTGGCTATATCTTCATGAATACTTGGAATTATATAAAAATTGGAAGATGATTAACATCATATGTGATTGTATAACATTTCGATCATTTTTATTTGCTTAAAGAGACATTCAGTGTATCAAGATACTGCCACTACCCCCACTATGAAAGGTAGTTTTATAGGTTGATATTGAATTGGTAAATTACTAAATTAGAAATAAAGAATGAATTGGATTTGTGAGACAAGTTTAGTTTTATGGACAGAAAAACGAGACAAATATACTGGGGCGGATAGAGTATAAATTAAGCCCTCAATGCCTTCCCCTCCAAAACCACATCCAACAAACCCTACGAGTATGTATGGATGGATGGTTTTGGAGAGGAAGCCCTTCGAGGTCGTAGTCTATACCGTAATAGATAGAGCGTTTACAAAACTAACAAAAGATAATTCAAATGCTATACAAATGTAGAATCATATATTACTCCGTATCATACTATGTTCAAGAAGCTTAGTCTGTTCTTTGAGAATTGTTACAATTTTTCACATGTTATATCTTTGTCACTGTTTTTTACTTTCATAATTTATACAAATAGATAGTTAAATATATTGGTGGTCAAAGTTGTGTGTTGCGAGAAGGAAGGTCAAACTGTTTGCAACTAAAATAAAACTGGGGAAGTACTACCTCTGACCATCCCATGTTGGATGTCTTATTTTAGTTTGGCACGATTATTAATCAAGTGGTTGAAAAGTAAAAGTGGTGGTTGAGATTTGAGTAGAATGAAGTGAAATGATATGAACCACATATTTCTTACCAAAAGGGAAACAAGACATTCATTTTGGGACAACCCAAAATGGAAAGTAGGACAATCAAAATGGGATGGGGGGAGTATATATTAAGCCTCCAAAACCCTTCATCCAAACAGATCCTTAAAAGTTTCAAATAAGTTCTTGATTCAATGACTGAATAAAGCAATAAAAAAGGAACTTTTATTGGTTTGAATTAATCTGACAAGTTTTTGGCCAATGTATCCTTTTTGTAGGCCCGGCCGCTTTTTAAAGATAGGAGGAAGTTCCCAAAAATGGCTGATCCACTATTGCAAGGCCGATATCCAATGAGAGGACTTTACCAAGCACTAGCTGTGGCAGCCATGTGCTTACAGGAACAAGCTTCCACAAGGCCTCTAATTGGAGACGTTGTGACCGCTTTAACTTATCTAGCCTCTCAAACGTATGACCCTAATGCATCATCCAGAATTAGTTCATCTACCCCTAGACAAACCATGTCTGGTGTAGACAGCCCAGATGGTCATGGGTCATCCCCTTCCATCCGTAATAAGAACTCTCCCGATTTTTACCGGAGAAGGACTTCCTCCAAGGATTATTACAATACAGGTGGGGCTGAGTTGAGAAGGGTTGAAACTGGACGAGGAAGTGGTGGTGGTTCTGGGCAGAAATTGGGCGATTTGGATGAATTAGACCGGTCCGGTTCTCAAAGGATTCAGGGAGTTGACAGAGAACGTGCTGTTGCATTGGCAAAAGTATGGGGTGAAAATTGGCGTGAGAGGAAGAGTAAAACAAGCGCAAGAGGTAGTTTTGACAGCACAAACGATTGAAAGAAACAAAAAGATGAGGGGAGAAACATTTTTCAGGCGGGTGTGGACATGACGTGGTCAATCATCATTACGACAGCAAATCACAATGCATCCCGCAGCTTTGAGTGTCCTGTTTGTTGGGATAAGTCAGTGGTCATTCTTGTTCACTTCGAACTGAGGATGGGCTGCTTCAGTTATGTGAAAGAAAATAGTGTAAGTAGAATATACATCAGCTATGCCGCTGCAGTGTGGATGTGCATGCATGTTGATCTATGTATTTAGGGGTTTCCTATCGTTGATGGTACCAAAAAATATCGAAAGAAATATTTTTTAGGTGTTCCTTAAGGCAAGGTTTCTTCAATATTAATTTGTGTATTTTGGTGTATGTATATGGTGAAATGTGTTTGAACTCAAAAAGGTTCACATACGCATTTTTTAATGTTATAATGCAAAAGCAACTATATGCTTGAGTTTCATCACTTCATGCCTCCTGAGTTCTAATGTCTATAGCTCCTGAGAAGGTTTATGTTATGACAGGTTATAATAAAATTTTATTTATAACAAGTCATCTGCAACATAGCTATCAGCCTACCATTGAGTGGTTTATAGAAGATTATTTATAAATCTCTGCAGATGCCCCCATCTGCCTACTACGGGTCTATGGCGGACATGTTCCCAGTCTGGAACTGACCGGTTCCTGATCCGCGATTGAGACTGGAAAATAAGGTTCTGGGACGGGACCAAGAGTAAAAACTAGAAAATAAAGTTTCAGACTATGACCAAAATTGGACTAGCGGGAAAGAGGTTCTAGTCTGATTGTTGGGACTAGTCATGGACCCGGTTCAGGCCGCCCGGCCCGCCACTGTGCGGGCCCGGAACCGGCCCGGTTCTCGGGTCCGGGTCCGGGTCCGGCCTAGGCCCGGTGGGGGGGCGGGTCCGGGCTCGGGCCTTGTATTTGGCGAACCGGCCCGGCCGGGTCGGGCCCGGGCCCGGGCCGAATTGATTTTTTTTTGATTTTTTTTTTGATTTTTTTGGGGTTAGCCGGGTTGGGCTTGATGGTTAGGAGGGGTTTGGGGGGTGGGGGGTGAGGGGGGGGGGGGGTTAAGAAAGAAAAAAAAAATATGACCGAACCGGAGGCCCGGCCCGGCCCGAACCCGAACCGGACCCGGTGGCTACCCGGGCCGGTCCCGGGCCTTCCTTCCCAAAAAAAAGCCCGGCCGGGCCCGGCCCAGCCCGGGTCCATGACTAGTTGGGACCATGACCGGCAGACAGGTTGGTCTGGCCCTTTTTCGACTATATTTAGACTATTGGGAAGCATTTTGAAAGGGGGTGGGGTACATTTAAATGTTGAAGAAAGGTGGGGAGGGGGATCAAGGGTTTAAAATGTAGTGCCTCCGTTCCAAAAACTTTGTTTTCAGTAAAACATTGATCAACTATATATTTTTATTGGAAATTATTTATAATATAAAAATTGATTTGAAAATGTTATTTGTTTGAAGTACTTTTATATGAGTATAAAATTTATAACTTACATAGTATTATATGAGATGGTAAAGTTTTTTGGGACGGAGTAGTATTTAATAAGGTAAAAATCTAAACCGTGACAGGAGAATGATTGGGGCCGGAACCATGAATATAAGTCCCGATATGGACCTCCTAATTTTTGTAGGACTTATCAGTCCGGGACTAGAATCTATCCAGACCTCAACCGCGTCCACTCTAATGCCTACATTGCATGCTATACATTTGCGTGAAATTGAAACTAAACAACGATGAGCGTCTCGCAAGTGTCATTATATGGTAAAAAAACAAAATTATATTTTGTTATTGGAAGAAAGATACTCCGTTAATAACAAGATTATCTTTAAAATGTGACTAAATAGAATTTTCAGACCCATGCAACACAAATTTTAAAATGTGACTAAACATTTAACCAGATCATGTTAGAGTATCACTTTCTATAGTCTCAAAATGTATTTACTAGTACTCCATCCGTATTTTTAAGTGAGCTATACTTTAGTTTTTGGGGTATATTTAAAAGTTTATCACACTTTCTCCTATTGATAAATTTTCTCTTTTGAAATACTACTAGGTATATTACTCTTACTTTTTCTACTTTTTATCTTTTTTCATACTTTTACATCTTTCTTACTTTTTTACACCGTTGATTACCCCTACTACTTTCATCCTTAAATAATGTGTCAGAGCTAATGTAACGATCCATAAAATAGAGAAGAAATATTAATCAAGTGTTTCTTAGGTGAGGGGAGTGGAGGATTGGACCCGGTCGGTGGTCCCGGACCGGAACCGCTACTGTGCGGGATCGAACCAGTGTCGGTCCCGGGCTTGGCCCGGTGACCCAACCGGGTAGTTTTCGGTTTCGGGCAAAGGTTTTGGGGACTGGACCGGGCTGTCCTGGTTCCGGTCCCAACGGTTAGAATAATTTTTTTAAAATTAAAGAGGAACGAGGGGTGGGGGTAAGTCGATGAATAAACCAGCTTATTTGGAATTATTCATTTTAAAACCACATTATCATTGTAGAACCCGAAAGCATATTAACTTTTCAGGGAAAGCTTCAAGCTAGGGTAAAATGGTACTCCGTATTTAGATATCCCATATAGATGAATAGATCCCTACCAATCCTACCACCATCCTAAGACAAGATTATAAATATCAGAAGTGGTAATGGAGAAGCAAATCATGTGAAAAAAAGTAGCCAACTACTAAAACCAAAAACACAATGAAGTATGGCACTATTTGTTCTCTATAAATGCAATCAAACATCAATACACATTGTTAATATAAGTTCAGGGAAAACCAGTTGTGGGTAACGCATGAAAACCAAAAAAACACATGACACATCTAGACCTTTGATTAATCCGCTATCAAACAGTTTTTCGATGATAAATCTATCCCAAAGTACAAAGAAATTTACAGAACAATATCAAGAAACAAATGGAATCTTTATTGAAGATGAACAGTTCAATGGCCAAAGCCCCCAAAAGAAAGAGATAACTCTCTAACTTCCCAGTCCCAAGACAAAAGTCTAAACAGCCTACTGACCTCTCCCAGACTTATTCTATTCATAACCATCTAGCTTAACCGTAAGTAGTTAATAGCTAACAACAGAATTTAACTATCAACTAATTAGTCTCTTTATTCCTTCTACAATATACTCGGTCATAGTATTTATCTTCTTTATTAAGTACAGTTGTATCCCTATCAATACTCCCCTCCTAAACATCCACCTTGTCGTCAAGGTGGGTGATAGGAAACAGCCAAGATCTTCCGCTCTCTCTTCCTTCTGGCGCTTCTACCTTCCCAATATCTCATTGGTTTCAGAGCCATGAAATTCCCTACTTGACTTATCCTCCTCACTTCTTCTAGCAAAAGCATCAATAGATTCTCTACATTCAAAGCATCTTGGGGGGTTTTTTATCATGATGCAACTGGGCTTTACTAATCACCAACTGCTCCATCTTCCATTTGTTAATAGCTTTAGCTACAAGATATAACTCAAGTCCTTGAATTTCAGTTGCTTCACTCCTTGAAAGTGTAACATCTGTCAAGTATTTCTTGGGACTGTATGGTCTGATGTTGGGTATGCTGGCTCTCTCTATGATATTTATTGCATGATCACAGGGTCCTTCAGGAAGCCGATCTAGAGTTCATTTAAAGACTTCAGGAAATTCTTCCACCATCGTGTTCCCGGTCTCATCCTGAGTTGTTATGTGCTTTTGTTCCTGCTCTATACCTTCACAGTATTGCAAGTATCCATCCCTTGTATTCTGTAAAATGTTAGTGACAGTTTTCAATGGAACATCCATCTCATTTAGGGCAGTATCTCCTTGGATAATATAATTTTGCTCTTGTTTTCTCCATTTTAAAGTCTGGTTCTGGAAGTTAACTTCCATATCTCCTAGGCCAGTTAACCACTCCATTCCCAGCATCACATCAGTTCCACCCAAGTCCAAAATGTAGAATTTCTGCATAATGTTATTTCCTTGTATATTCAATGTTACCCCTTCACATCTGCCATTGTTGGGAAGAAATTCTCCATTCCCTATTTGCGCTACATAACCCTTATTTGCACTACATAACCCTTGATGTAACTAAATGGTATCTTCCATTTATCAACAACCTTCTGTGAGATGAAGTTGTGGGTAGCACCACAATCAATATATTTAAAAGTTACTGATTTGTGTGCTCTAATATTGGATTAACGAGGTGTCTTTATATCTAACATTTCCTATTGAGCATAATGAAGCGAACGACTTTGATATTCTTCAATGGCGGAAGAGCCACGAAGGGATGTTTCCGGTTTTATCAAAAATGGCCAAACAAGTGTTGTCGATACCAGTTTCAACGGTTATAGAACGAGGTTGAGCGCTTCATCTCTTGAGAGACTCGTTTGTTTCCATGATTGATTGAAGGCCCGCCATAAAACTCAAGATGTCAACATAGCACCGGACTGTCATTTCATGGAGGAAACGACAACCGACGCCGGAAGCGACTCGGATGATTAGTACATGTAATTTGATTTTCGACTTTAAACTATTCTCAATTGTAACTTCCAAATGTATTATTGATAAAATATCCGTAACTCAAGTGTTTGAAATAAATATACATTTATTTTTGTGATGTGTACAATAATTTGTAACTTAATGTTTTTTTTATCTAAAGGTCCTGAACCGGCCCAGGACCGGACTAGGACCGTCCGGGTAGACCAGACCAGAACCAGGTACAGTAGTCGTCCGGATCGATTCCAGTCTATTCAATTAAAAACCGGGACTGGTACAGGTCCATTCCTAGGGGAGGGCTTGTTTCAAGTTATTTGAGATTTAAATCTTAGACCAAAACAAATTTGACCTAGCTTAAATAAACACAAACGGACTTGGACCAGATGAACCAAACTTAGACATCAGTAAAAACATAATCCAAACCGGATTTTTCAGTTTTTAAAAGGGTAATTCTATTGGCAGCCCTCAAATTGTTATACACAGCAACTAAATTACTCTAATGCCTAAGTTACCCCTTAAATCTATTGATGTAACCAGCGCGGATCCTTGCACTTTATGCCATGACCATCCACGGAGAAATTTCCCTGTCACAGGCTCACAGCGGAGATCGCTAGGATAGTGAAGGCTGGCCGATGTTCAGGTGGACTCCTAGTGATTTATCCTCTTCGCCAAGCTCTGTGAGAAGAACATCGATGACCGGGTGCCGCTGGTGGTGGTGGTGGTGCGGTTGCTATTGCTGACCCATCCGCTGCTCCTCCGGCCTCCGAAGAGAATAGGAATACGGGATGGGTTTATTTGATAATTAGAGTCTGAAATTTCTTTGAAATGGTGGCTTTTGGTTTGTATGTAGACAACTTTAATAATATTATCATTCTCGTCTCGTAGGGATTAGAAAAGTCCACTGACTCCACTGCAAGTTTGAGTTTTCTCAGAAATTCCATGGCTGTCATTCCACAAGTCTACAGTCCACATTCCATTTCATATAACACTCCATTAGAGCATCTTTAATGGGCATGTCTATTCTTAAGAATGCATAGCCACGTAAATAAAAATGGAAGGAAGGTAAACAAATCTTCTCCAACGGAGTAGTGAATTTGTCTTGTGCTGCTGAGCTGGAACAGAAAAAAATCCACACCCGCTACCTCACTGTCGACTTTCAGCAAGGCTCCTCCAACACGTGACTCAGCAATCAATTAATTTTTTGGAAAATTCTGGAGGCCAAGCGATAAAGTTTCGCTAGAATCTTACAATATGTTGTAGGTTTGAAAACGTCTCATCAAATTCCTTTCCTTGCTTCTTTGAGTTGTGCGGTGCAGGGCATATATCTACTGGATTAGATTAAGCTTTTTTTAGAAAATTTTGCTAGAAACGTTTTCCCATCTTTGATGTATTTTTCTAGAATCCATATTTGTGTTTAATTAATTGGATGAATGAATTAGATGAAAGGAAAATTACTACTTATATATATTACGGAGTATATACTAGTATTATATATATGTGTGTATAGTAATATATAGATGCAGTTCCGTGAAGGGATACGTATGACTAATTTTGATATTCAGGTGCGGATGCATTGGAGAGGAAGTTTTATTTCAAATGTGTGTGGATCCACCTCAGCTCCACGGACTATGGATATCAGTGACGTGTCCATTTTATATGGGGTGGAATCCATTTTCCCATTAAAGATGCTCTTAATCCATTTTGGAAGAGCCGAAACGGATCAGACAGTGCTAATTTATTCCTTGAAGGGTATAATAGGAATGAAAAAATAATTGTGGCTGTATTTAGTAATTGTGGTAAATAGGTGACTGGTTAGAATTTCCCTTTTGAAAATTTTATATATCTCTAGGAATTGCAAAAATTCAGACAACTTCAAAAGAAAAACCGAACGGACAAATGGACCATCACTAGAAAAGTACGACACTGCCTTATTGAGGAAGGAATGATTGAGGAGAAACGCAGCCCACAATGACATTACTAGGAGACGGGGACCAGAACTGCCAGTCACTGGATTTCCAATTCAGAAACTGGCCAGTCCCAAGACCTTAAGTCCTTAACACACTACTAAATCAGATTATTTAATCAGATTATTTAATCAGATTGTAGGGCATTTACCCTATATAAGACTAAAAGTGTTCGTAAATTCCAAAAATAAGACTATCATATTTTTATTCTCAAAATAAGACTAATTAGTGTCGTGTTTTGGCAATACCAGACTTTAAACATGCCAAAATTTTCCAAACTTGACAATAATTACTCTAAAAACATAACATTTCTATTTTGGAATTTACAAACATTTTTTTATCCCATTTCAGGAATTATCCCAAAAATCAACCCGTTCAAAATCCTGTAATATATTTCCTAATATCGGTTTTACTTTGCCCAAGTGTTGCTTGAGATGAAATTAGTCAACACGTTAAAAATCCTGTAATATATCCAAGAGCTACACCTTACGGAATACAGAGTATCTGTATAATTTCGCAATATCCCCATAGGCTTTAAATTAATTGGTACTACATGTCTACATCCCTTCATACCTTGTATTCTTGTAACAAACAAAAATGGCTTCCCAGTGATTTTTCACAGGTTATGACCATATGCATGGAATTCTGTTGGGTAGACATTAATAAACTACATGTCTACATCTAAAAAACTACAAGAGATGCATTTAAACAGAAGCATCTGTGCTACAAATCTGCTAAGATCCATGTCCAAGATATACAATGTCTACCAGATATTAACCCAAAAACAGCAGCTGCAGGATCCAGCAAAAGAATTTTAATTTCTATCATTTCTTCTTCCTTGCCTGTACAATAGAAGGAAAACAGATCTAGTGACTTGCATGAAAAAGATGGGAAACAGAAGGAAACAAAAAAAGTTGAGATTATCTTTGAAAGATATTGTTACCGAATTGACATAATCGTCCATTGATAATTGCTTCCGTTTCTTTGAGTTGGGAGGGCTCTCAGCTGATTGCCTTGGCAAAGCGGCCCGCTTTGACGGAGCATTCATCTGTGTTGGGAGAAATTAGTTGTCAATTAGACCCAGAAAGTCACAAAATTCCAAAAGGTTTTCTATTTTCTTAAATTCTTTTAAAAGAAAGGAAGAACCAAACCTTAGCAAGTTTCTTCTCCTTCCGGGCCTGTCGTTCCTGCTCATCATATTCTTGGTTCTCCTTCTCAATAAGCCTAATGAGGGTATCACACCTCCTCGCCAATTCCTGGGCAGTTCGAGACTTTACAAACCAATCAAAACGGAACAAAGGAGATGTGCGAAAGGCAGCTTTCAACTCATCCCAGTTTCCATACCCAATCTTGTGAACCATGCACATCTGAGTAGTAAATAAGAAAAATAATTAAATTATGGGGGCTATGAAGATGATGGTATGAAATGAGTCCCAAAAAAATGGAAACTTAATAAAGCAAGTTAATAATCTTACCATGAAACGATCACATTCCTCATTGTAAAACTTGCCCTTGTTCTGACCATATTGGATCTTTAACTCTAGCCATGGGTTCTTGTAACGATCCAATTTTTTCCCTATTGCTTTCATGATCTCATCTCTTCGGGAAATTCTTGCTTCTCCTCTTTCAATGTTTTTTATGATCCTATCATAATCTGGGAAAAAACATATTATATCAAGAGTCGGAGAGTACTATGTTGAAAACACGTAACATCAGACATCCTTCATTAATCAACTTTTTTACCTTTTTTTTGGCAAAAAAAAAAATTATTAAAAAGACAATAAGTAAAGTACAAGGAAATAAAAAAGAGTGGATTTTTTTTAAAAAAAAATTACCATTTAATTCTTTGTATCTTTCTTTAAAAACTTGTGCATATCGTTCAACTTCCTCTTCTGTTTTCCCTTCCATTTCTGCAGCAATGCTTTTAATATCATTACGGCCATATTTCTCACAGGCCCTGATGAAAGTATTGAAGTCTCTTCTGCTCCACGTTGAAAATCCCTATAAATAAAAAAGTTTTTAGTATCAGCTTAAGCAGAAATGTGTTTTGTTGCGAGTAAAAACAGCAACTTACACGTTCCAAGAGACGTTCTTTTTCTTCCTGTTCTTCAGCAGTCAAAGGTTCTCCAACATCTAGGCAAGATACTATTCATTAAAAGAAAATCAGAAATGTTCCCAAACTGCTATCCGCAGAATGTTGTTAACATACCTTCTGTTTCGTCCACATCTATGGTGTCTTTCATTTGAACCTTTTGTTGCCTTTGCTGTAATCAGAAAACATGAATGAGTTAAGAAGGTGAAAGGCAGGTGGGGGAGTATACAAAGATGTCAATTGAACTGCAAAGAGCAGTGAACTGTGAACACACCATGAGGTACCGAACTTCCTTCTCAAACAGCTCACCGAGCCTCTGTGTGTTAAAGAACTGGAAGTCATGCCTGCAAGGCGCAAGGCAAAAAAGGCAAAAAGTTAAGGTCCACATAGATAAAACATTGCTAGAATAAACTTGTCAACTTATCAACTGGAGAGATGATTACAGCTGAGGCATGCGAGGAATTCGAGGCTCTTTGGGTTTTGCAGGGCCATTCTGACGCATTGTTTGCTTGAAGTATTCTGACTCCGAGTAACTAATAACAAAGTGGTCATTTATCATTGAATGAATGCAAGGAATGAATTTTACAAGGAGAGTCAGCTGCCAATTTTAGAAGCATACTTGCGCTTTCGTTCTCTTCTTGATGGCTCATTCCAGTTTTCAGTAGCAATCTTCTTAAAGTCAAGCTTGTTTTCATCCTTCATTGACACCAAAGTAAATCAGAAATGCAGGATTTGTTTAAAAAAACTAGCCAAAGGCATTAGATTGTACACAAACCTTTTCATCGTCAAAGTCATAGATATCAGCAGCTGCATAAAAGGAGATAGAGAATTAGCCCAAACTCTGCGAGAGCAAAACACATAGTAGTATAAAATATAAATCAGACACAATGAAAAGAAATACAACATACAGTCATCCATCTTGAACTTGATAGCATCTTCTGTAAACTTCTTCATCTTGGCATCAAGTTCAGCTGTTGCCTCCTCTCCTTTAGCAATGATCCTATCAATATCTTCATCGGTGATGGTGCTATCCTTAGAACTGAAAACCATCTCCGCACCAAACCTCACCATCTGCAGTAACTCATCCTTATTTACAGCTGCAGAGAATTAAGTCAAAGATCCCAGATTTGTTATTCCTTTTTTTGAAGGATGAAGAAATCCCAAATATGGCAACCATGGATAATCTTACTTTTTTGCTCAGCTAGTCGTCCTTGCTGGATAACCAAAGCATCAAGTGCAAGCTTCTTATAAGCTCTTTCAATCACCTTTTCCTCGATAGTGTACTGCTCATAAAATTGCAATTGGAAATCAGTTTTAGCCAATACACCAGATTTACTCATTATATATAAAGCAAAAACAAACCTCCGTGCAAAACCGGAATACTTGCACTTCCTTCTTCTGACCAATCCTATGAGCACGATCCTGAGCTTGCAAATCAACTTGTGGATTCCTGCAATTTTGTAGACACAAGGCTATTTGAGTTAAAAATAAAATATGACTCAAACTGAGCTTGCTAATCAACCTCTGGATTTCACCCTATATTGACCAACACAAATAAAGCATCTATTGCCACCAAACAGAATAAGTAGAAATCCTTACCAATCGCTGTCATAGAGTATTACAATGTCAGCAGTAGCCAGATTGATTCCAAGACCCCCAGCCCGGGTGGACAATAAGAAAGCAAATTTTTCACTTCCTGGCTTGTTAAAGGCTTCAATAGAAGCATCACGATCCTCACCACCAGTATTGCCATCAATTCTGCAATATTGATGACCACGGTACATCAAGTAGTCCTCCAAGATGTCCAAAAGCCTGGTCATCTGCATTACAACATCAGATGAAATTGCTTACCCAATGCCATGTCAGTCATGGGAATGAAATTAAAGGACATATTTTTTAATTTTTTTCATGACACCAAGATTTACTGTGTTTGACTTTTTGGTCAAAGAAGTTTAACTTTAACTAATAATTTATTTTCTATTCAAAATAACTTAATGGTACTCAATGTCTAATTGATTTACAAAAAGCAGTATAAGAGTTGATTGAGCATGAAGTTAATTCTTTCCAGATAATTTGCAAGCTAGTACACTAGTAATAAAAGAAAAATATTTAGAAACTAGACTATAAGTTCTATTGAATCACAAACACCAAACAAAAATATGACTAAAAATTGATACAGGTTAAAGAAAAAAATGGAATTTTGTTGATCAAGAAAAGTAAAACAGAAAATTATTTAAGAATAGATGAAATACGAAAGTGATATAAAACTGTTATTCGTTAAAATTTAAAAAAATGTCATTTTTCACTATAGCATCTGATTATAACATTTGTCTAACAATTCTGGGGCGGAGAAAGTATCATTTCTAGATATATACAGACCTGAGAAAATATTAACACCCTTGAGCCACG